TGCCCAGGAGCCCTCATGGACAGGCCCGCATGGACATTAGGCGTGAGCAGGAGGCGAGCATAGAGGGCAACTATAGAGCCCAACAACATAAATGAGACGAGGAAGAAAGTGAAAGCTGACGAGATAACACAGAGATCGCTACTGTTGCTCTTGCCGCTGTTACCGGAACTGTTTCTCCGGCACTACCAACCGCCGGCGCCGGCCTGTGCGTAGGAAGAGGCGGAGATCGCAACTAGGTTTGAACCCATCGGTAAAGGAAGATGCGGAGGGTGTTGCCTTAGAGAGATCTCTCGCGGCGGTGGGCATGCGGTTCCAGAAACGCCGATTAAAGCCAGCATTATATGTTAAATGCGTGTTAATCTATGTATGGTCTGTGCAGTTCCTTCTAATGTAAAAATTGTGCTTAGGAATTGAGAATAATGGGACACAAAAAGGGAGAGTGGAAGAAGAGGAGTCCGACGGTGGGGTTTGGGTGTTTTGGAAATGCGAAGGCAGATTGCGTCGGACATACAACAATGATTTTGCTTGAAAAGTCACTTTTTTTGCCGAAAAATTCTGCCGGAGGATGGCTGGATTTCTATTGACCTATGATAGCAGGTCAATTACATGTTCTTGGGCTTTATTGCGTTAAAATGAATTGTTTATGGGTGTAATTGCACCTTTACAAAGTTAGAGGGGTTAATTGACTTTTTAGCTAAAGTTTGAGGGCCTATTTGACCCTTTTCCTTAATTATATTAAAACTCAATAAATAAATTTACTTACTCATTATGCAATTTACAATAAGAACCGATCTAGAATGCATTCACCATGAATTTATGAGTTGTATCTCTTCAACGGTGCACATCTACATTTGGAGCTTTATATAATCTCCTCACAACCCTCATATTAACATAGAGGAAGAAAAAAAAAAAACAAAAGACGTACATAGAAAATTCAGAATCATAAAAATTTCGAGTTCCATCCTAGTTTGAGAGTTGACATAATGTTAAACAATTACTATAGATAGGATTAGATGGTAGTCATTAACAAATAAAAAAAAATTAAAAAAAAAAAAAACAAAAAAAAAACTCACCTATCAATTATTAGACATCTGCATGCCACGCCACTAGGAGCATGAACATGGTGTCAAGATTGAGCATGTTTAGTTCATCTTATTGGTTGATTAAACAAAAGAAAATCAACTAATTAATTAATAAATTATTACTACTAATAATGCATTAATGCTGATGAAATAAATCCATGTGTGTTTTTTCATGTCTGACCAGCGCAACGATTATATATTGTTGCTAAGTTATATTAAATTGAATTTGATAAGTACGCCGCGCTGATTAATTTTGTCGGATGGAGCATTAACATTAAATAAAGTACAATTTTTATATGTTCTCACATTCAATTTAAATATTTTTTTTACATAATAATTATATTAATTAGGGCATGGACCAGGACTATGTGGTCCAATGGTACCCGGGTTGGACTTCCATTTGGAAGGTTGTAAGTTCGAGCCTCAGTGGAGGCGTTATTAGCTCTTTGTGTTTCAGTAGGTTGAGAAAGTATATGAACAGATACTACAATGTAATAGAGCTAGTAGCATTCAAAAAAAAAAAAAAAAAATTAGGGCATGGTGTTGCATGCACAATTATTATGTCTAGTATTATTCAATCCCTTTACATTGATCAAACTTGAGATATATAATGGTCAAATAGGCGTTTCAATAAGTCAAAGTGCAATTAGCTCCATAAATTAACAAAAGCTCCAATTAGGTCTTTCATCTCTTCACTTGTATGCAATTAAGTAAATAACTTCTTAAATTTATGTAATTAGCTCAATTTACAGGTAAACACAAGGTAATAGCAGGTAAAATATTTTTTTTAAAAAAAATTTTACAAAAAAAGAAAATGGATGCTTGGCTTCTCCTTGACGGAGAAGCCATGGTCTGCTTCTCCGTTCAATTAGATGGAGAAGCCAGACCGGCTTCTTCATCCAACTGGACGGAGAAGTCACGACCGGCTTCTCCGTCTAACTGGATGAAGAAGCCATGGCTTGCTTCTCCATCCAACTGGGTGGAGAAGCCATGGCATGCTTCTCCGTCCAACAAGACGAAGAAGTGGTCGTTGGACCTTTTTTTTTTTTTTTAAATAAAAAAATTATTAATTTATTTGAATTAAAAATATATTTTTTATTTTAATTAATTTGTAAAAAAAATTTTAAAAAATTACATGTGATTTAGATGTAACATGTTAATTAACTTAATTGCCAAGCATTTTGTGCTCAGATAGCATGTAATGACCTAGCTCCCCCATGTGGGAGATCATGAGATTGAGCCTCAGTGGAGGCGTTGTTGACTTTTTGTGCTTCATTAGGTTGAGAAAGTATGTTTGGACAGATACTACTATACAATGTAATAGAGTCTAATTTAAGGGGCTAATTGCACTTTGGCCTATAGTTGAAGGGTCTATTTGACCCTTATCCCATCAAACTTCTATTCTATGTTGACTTAATTTTCAACATTTTCATTTTAGATGGATGAATATTTTATTTATTTTTAAAAAAATTATGTATACTTTTAACCCTACAATTATTATCTTTAAAAAATAAAAAACTTTTGGTCCCATGACTATATATACACATTTTCATTTTAGATACAAAATAATCAGAAATGAAAAATCACATTTTACTTTTTCTGTTTATTATTCATGGGTCAAATAAACAATTTCTTCATTGTTTAATTTTTTTTTAATTTAATAATATTTTTAATGTAGTTTCTAAATATATAAATTTTATATAATAATACTAAACTTAATATTATGAAAATTTGAATTAAAAATAACATCAGTCAAACCTCATTAACCGAATCACACAAACAAAATGGAATGGAGGGAGTAAAATGTATTCCCAAGTACTATTCATTTGTCCATTTCAATGTTTTTTTTTTTTTTCTTTTTTTTTTTTAAGAATTAAATAACTCAAGCGGGACATAAGCTAAAAATGAAAATAGAAAAAAGGTGATGAAAAAGTGAAAAATGAGTTAAACCAAATAATTCTTCTAAAATGAGAGATCACATGTTCGAACTTCAATGGATGCATTAACTCTTTGTGTTTCAGTAGGTTGAGAAAATATGTATGAACAGATACTACAATGTAACAGAATCAATATGTAATACTAAAAGAAAAGTCTCAAATATGAGAATAAATTTATAATTTAAGAAGTTTGGGGCCTTTGGCCCTTTCCCCTACCAAAAAAAAAAAAGTGTATTTTTTTTTAAAAAAATGATACTAAATACATAAGCTGTAATTTTCTATTTTAATAACATTTTTATATGTGGTATTATAATGTTTTTTACTATAAATAAAAATGGGCAACAGTTCATTAAAAAAAAAGTGATCTTGCAATATTGGAAACTGTACTCTAAAAATAAGAAAACCCTAAAACACCTGGCTGTCACCATAAATTTTAGTGACATAAAAGTACAAAGAAAAGTATTTTAAAAGGAGTTGATTTTATAAAAAGTAGTAAATACAATGTGAGATTTTAATTTTAATAATTATTAATATCTCCAACTGTACATTAAAAATATCTTACTTTCTTTTCATTTTCTTCCTTTATTCCTCACACAAAAACTTAAGTAAGTTAGAAAAAACTTTATAACTTTTTTAATGACATTTTGTATTTAATAGAATTATACAAAGTTTTTTAAATAAAATAAGATATATAATTTTAAGAAATATTGCCAATAATCTTGTGGTCTAATAACATGAAATGACTTTTCAAATGGGAAGAATGAAGTGGCCTTCCCAAATGAGAAGTCATGAGTTGAGCCCATGTGGTATCGACTCTTTGTGCTTCAATAGGAGTAATACTCAACAAAACATGAGACACGGTAAATACAATAGACGATAAAAATTTATACATAATCCGTTTTATAATAATATTTAAAATATTATTTAGACAGTTTCATAATATACAAAACAAATTAATTATTAATTAGATTGATGTGGAGAGAGAAGCTTCTAGGTCTTTACAGGAGGAGTGTACCATAGAAATTTATACATAAGTCGTTTTATAATAATGTTTAAAATATTATTTAGACAGTCTCATAATATACAAAACAAATTAATTATTAATTAGACTGATGTGGAGGAGATAAAAGCTATTGGGTCTTTGTAGAGGAGAGTTTTTTGGACTAAGCATGTGGGGCCCACATGGAGAAATGACAGCGTTTGTTTGCATGTTCAACGCAACGCACCCCGCAGGCGCGTACACTGCACGTGCTCCTAGGTGCGTAAAAATTTAATGTTTGGGAGGAGTACTCAATTGAACATGAACCGGAACCCTCCCTCACTTGGAGAGGTTGCTTCCACACTGTGACTGGTGAGACTCGATCCCTGGTCATTCTTTCAAAGTTTAATTTTTGTGACCAATTGAGCTGTCTATGCGGGAAAAGAAAAACTACAAGTATGGAGATACTATAAGGAGTCTAGGATCTAAAAAAAATCATCAATATATATAATTAAATTCAAGATTTCTTGAACTGGACAGATTACAGATATCCAACTAGTTCCTACATGTGCAATTAGCGCAAGCAAAGGGCAATCCTACTCGAAAAACCCAAAAAAAGAAAAAAAAAGAAAAAAAAGACAGTCTTTTAGTTCTCGCTATCTTCAACTTTTGACTACGTGATCTCTCATCTCCCTCAGTACAAGATAGCTTCGAGTCTTGAAGAGCCACCCTAACTATATATACACTCTCTGTATAAATATCTATACTTTTCTCTCTCTACACTCCCTCAGCTCAAACTCCATAACTCACAACTCTCCTTCATCTCTCTATGATTTCTGTTTATATTGTCTGTATGTATTGTAGGCTCTGGCTGTAGATATCAATCAACGCGTGGCTTCATAAAAGCCTCTGATCCAACTCCGAGGACAGATAGATACAACAAGGTAAACAGCGATGGAAACCCTAATAGTGGGTTGCCACTTGTCCTATATCAATCTGTCTTTAAGTTTGCGCCCATGTTTGTGTGTGCGGGGGTGTATTTTGTTATCTTTTGGCGTGTTAGTGTATCTTTATGGAAATCTGTGAAATGGGTCTGTATCATTTGCTTCAGTTTCAGATCCATGGTGGTGAGTGTTAGCTTGGAGCTTCAATTTGGTGATCTTTTGCTCTGTTTTCTGGGTTTTGAGAATTCTTTTATGATATTTTGGGTTTAATTCTTCGCAAAGATCTGCTTTGGTGGCGTTACACTTCGACAAAGGTTTTTTTTTTTTTTTTTAAATATATTTTCTGTATTCTTTTTGCAATTTGGGTTGTGCCCACTTCTCCAAGGGAAACAGAGGCTGTTGTAAATATTAAATTTGCCATCTGAATGGGATTTATACAAGCATAAAACTATAGTTTATCATGGAATTCTGCATTCCAGATTTGTAATTCTTGCATTTGTTTATACTTTCTGTTTAAAAGCACTGAATTTTGACTTCTTGTTACTTGTTGACCTTAATTCCCAATTAGTGTGATTTGTGCAGCTAACTGGTTAACTTAATGGCAGTTCTAATTTTCTGCAATTGATATTTTTATTGGCATGTGATAGCATAGCCATATTTTGCTCTATCAAGTTTTGAAAGATTCAGTTTCTTCTTCTTAATGCATTCACCCTTGTATTTTTATTATTTTTATTTTATGCTAATGGTAGTATGCGCTTATATACTTACACTTCTCATACTGATTCTCTAAGCATTTTAATGAATCAGGAAAAGTAAACGGTTGTTCGGTCAAGGGTCTTTCTGCAGTTTGGCTGTGGTTTATAAATTATTTGGTTCTTAGATCTACATATTAAGGAGCTTTGATTCATGTGATTTTGTTTCCCTGCTATTGATGAGGCTGGAAATTCCGGGGTTTTGAGATGACATGGATATTGGCACGAAGGTGATATGGATTGTCAGCTCCTCTAGAACATTGGATTTTCCTTTCCTCTATTGGTTCTGAAATTAAAGCAATAGCCAATAGGTTTTTAGAAGTCTGTACAAAGTTGAAGGTTTTGGGTTTTTCTTTTCCCTTGGCTAAATCCATTTATCATAGAAGTCTGTGTAAAGAACCTAGTTAGAGGTAGAATTTTTCATAGAATTGAGTTCCTACGGCTGGCTATATGTTTGGCTACTTTCTGTTGCACATTCTCCGTTTCTGGATAGCTCAATAATCTTTGAAGCTTAATTGGTCTATCTTGGAGGAATTAAAAGAAATGGAATCTGAGGCACTGGCTGCTCATTATCAACCAAATAAACTTCAAAGACTTCTTTCCACTATTGCGCCTGTGCTATTGATTGCAGTAGGATATGTGGACCCCGGCAAATGGGCTGTGTTTGTTGAAGGAGGTGCCCGTTGTGGGGTCAATTTGATGATTGTATTACTTCTGTTTAATTTAGGAGCAATTTTGTGTCAGTACTTGTCAGCTCGTATTGCAGTGGTTACAGGCAGAGATCTTGCCCAGGTATGGATCTCAGTTTGCTATTTTCTTCTTGTCGTTGACATTATCATCGAGCAACCTTATAAGCTTAACAATTTGATGTTAGATTGTTTGAACAATTTTCATTGCAATTATTGAACACATTCAAAGGGAATTCTACGTATATTTGTAAAACCATTCCATGGTGCCCAATAGGAACAAAATATTCCTTATTCTTCCGCTTCTCTTTTTTCTTTGAAGTTTTTGTGTTACTGGTGAACCAAGCAATAACAACTTTGAACTTGGTGATATCAAAGATATGCAGTGAGGAGTATGACAAAGTTACATGCATATTTCTTGGAGTTCAAGCTGAGATTTCAGTTATTGCATTGGACCTCACAATGGTAGTACAAGCTTTTATATTTGATTATTTTCTCTGTTCATTTATGTAGTTTTCTTTCTCTTTAGCTACTTTTGGCTAATCCTGTGCTTAAAATTTGCAATCTGATAGGTTTTGGGCACTGCATATGGGCTAAAGGCTGTGTTTGGATTTGACTTACTTAGTTGCATCTTTCTGACAGCAACTAATGCTGTTTTGTTGCCACTCATTTCTTCTCTCGTAGTAAGCCGCTTATCTTAAAATAGTCTCGTAATTAGCTTTTGTCTTTATTACTGGCAAGTGATGGCTCTTAGCCATCCTCCAGACTAACTATTTTTTCTTTTTTCTTAATGGGACTGATAAAGCTAATTTCATATTATTTTTATTTTAGGATAATGGCAGTGCAAGATTCCTAAGCATTTGCTGGGCGAGCTTCATACTACTTTCTTATGTTATTGGAATGATAATAAGTCAACCCGAAAATCCAATATCCATGGACGGGATGCTGACGAAATTAAATGGGGACAGTGCATTTGCATTGATGAGTCTACTTGGAGCAAGTATCATGCCACACAATTTTTACCTGCACTCTTCTATTGTACAGGTTCTCTCTCTCTCTCTCTCTCTCTCTCTCTCTCTCTCTCTTATGAATGTAAAGTTCTCTAATTTTTGTTAAGTCAATATGCTTCTGAGCTTTATAACCGATAATTTATTTTTGCAGCGAGATCAGGGATCAAAAAAGCTTTTGAAGGAAGCTCTGTGCAATGACCATTTTTTTGCCATTGTTTGCATTTTCAGTGGCATTTTCCTGGTTAATTATGTGCTAGTGAATTCGGCAGCTAGTGTTTTCTACAATAGTACTAGTGGGAGTAGTGGCCTTGTTTTACTCACATTTCAGGACGCATTGTCATTGCATGATCAGGTCAGATTTTATTTAAAAAAATACTATTCTTATATGAATTATTAAGTGGAGTAATAATATTAATATTATAATTATTATAACAAGAGCAATGCTACAAACCCCTCCTGTATTTCCCCTCATGACCTGTTTGGTAAAATAGTTAGCTTATCAGTCAATTTTGGCTTATTTGACCACTATTAGCTGTTTGACTTGGTTAAAAAACCAATATAAGTGTTTGGTTAATCATCTTTTTGTAACTCCAAAATTCTAAAATTCAAAAAGCTGCCTAAAGCAACTCTTTCAATTAGCTTTTTGAGAAAAGAAATTATACCAAACAGCTATCAGCTAACAGCTAATTTACCAAACACTTTCTATAGTTAGCTAATGTTATCAACTAGTTATACCCCTTAACCCAAACAGCTAACCGCTATAAGCTAACAGCCATTTACCAAATAGGGCCGAGGTGTCATCATGTAATTGGTGATTAAATTTATTTATTAGTTAGTGGTGGGTTAACTAATTCATTGGCACCAAATGAATAAAAGCCACATCATGAGGGCAAAGTTTGGAGGTGATAATCAGGAGGGGAAAAGAGCATTTTCCTTATAACAACATCCAAAATACTGTGTTTTTATCATATTTGATTTGATGTTGACTAGAATAGTGGATTGGTGATACAGGTTTTTTGGAGTTCACTGGTAACATTTGTAGTAGTGTTGGTCATGTTTTTCTCCAATCAAATCACTGCACTCACTTGGGATCTTGGTAAGCAAGCAGTAGTGCATGATTTGTTTGGAATGGAGCTTCCGGGTTGGCTTCATCACGTGACGGTCAGAATTATGGCAATCGTGCCAGCTCTCTATTGTGTTTGGACTTCAGGAGCCGAAGGCCTTTATCAGATGCTGATATGTACACAGGTTGGGGTAGCCCTTGTGCTTCCATCTGCTGTTATTCCCCTTTTCAGAGTCGCTTCATCCCGATCAATAATGGGCGCTCACAAGATTTCGCCCCTCTCCGAGCTTTTGTCTCTGGGCACATTCTTTGGCATGCTTGGCCTCAAAATCGTGTTTGTAACAGAGATGGTATTTGGAAATAGTGAATGGGTGAGCTATTTGAAGTGGAATATTGGAAGCAGTGTATCGGTTCCATATATTGTCCTTCTCGTTGCTGCTTTTTCTTCGCTGGGGTTGATGTTGTGGTTAGCCGCCACTCCGATGAAATCTGCAAGCTCCACATTTGATCCTCAGGCGTTATATTGGGACATTCGAACTCCTGTGCCCGAGTCACCTCCAATTGGGAAAAAAGTCGATGCCAATGAATCTAGATTTAATTTAGAGCGGTCTACAAATAGGCAGGAACCTACATTACAGTTGGGTAAATTGTTAGGGAGCCATTCGAATTTATCAACTCCGTATCCTGAACCGAACTTGCCAGAAACACTACCGGATTTCGAGACATTTCCTCATCTCACTACCATTGATGAGAATAAATCTGAAATAACTTTTGCAAACAAATCTAAGTGTGATCCAGAGCTATCAATATCTGCAGGGGACACTGTTCCAAGGAACACTGTTTATGATGATGTTTCAGCAGAAGATAGCAGCAGCTTGACATCTAAACCGGTAGATGTTGTAGAGAAGACACTTCATATTGAAGGTGATAATCATCAGAATGACAAGGATGATGAAGGAGATTCCTGGGTGCCAGAAGAGGTGACAAAAGAGGTATCTGCAAATAGTCAGTTTTCGAGTTTCGAGGGTCCTGGATCATTCAAGAGTATCGGTGGAAAAAACGATGATATCGGGAATGGCACTGGAAGTTTATCCAGATTAGGACTTGGTCGTGCAGCAAGGCGGCACTTAACTGTAGTTCTCGATGAGTTTTGGGGACAGTTGTTTGATTCTCACGGGCAGGCCACTCAAGAAGCAAAGTCGAAGAAACTCGATATATTGCTTGGCGTGGAGTCGAAGATGGATCCTAAACCTCCTTCTGGATCCCTGAAATTAGAAAGCATTCGGAAGGAGTCTAATGCATATTTATCATCTATGAGTGTAAAAGGGTCCGGAGATTTGTTGATAAATTCGAATTTGTATTCCCACAAGCAGCAAATGGGAAACTTTGGTGATGGAGCTCAGAAGGATCCATATTCATCGCAGTCTGCTCACTTGCAACTGTTAGATGCATATGTACGAAGTTTAAGCCACGATACTCTAGAATCGGGTGAGAGGCGCTATTCCAGCATGCACATTCCGACATCATCTTCAGGCTATGATCAACAACCTGCTACTATTCATGGGTATGAACTTGCCTACCTTAATCGAATTGCTAATGGAAGAACTGGTTATTCGAATGGTAAAGTGGAGTCACCGATTCCAAAATCCCAAAATTTTACCTCAAATTCTTCGGAGTTCTATCCCTCTGCTTATGGGCAGAAGCCACAGAGCAGCTTGAGTAGCAGGGCACCACCCGGGTTTGGAAATGTTCCTACGTCTAGAAATACTTCACTGCTGTCTGGAAATAATTTAAACGATCTCAATCCTTCTGGGAATGCCGAGAACATAGGTTGCACAGCAAGTGCAAAGAAATTTCATAGCTCGCCAGACATCAAGAAACTCTATGTCCCTAATCGGGAATCTTTGCTGCTCGAGAGAAGTTCAATGGGGTATGTGCAATCTTCGGGGCGCTCACCGTATGAACGTAGTAGCTATTTGAGTCCTTCGCAGAGGGTTGGTGGTCCTCCGGGATTTGATCAACCTTCTCCTTCCAAAGCGTGTAGAGGTGCTATTCCCTTACAGTTTAGTTCAAATTCTGCAACGGGGTCGCTATGGGCCAGACAGCCTTTCGAACGATTTGGTGGCACTGCTAAGAGTGGCAATATTCGTGGTGATCGTTTTGGAGCTATGCAGAGTTCATTTACTCGGGAATCTGGATTGATGATGGAGTTGGAGGCGAGGCTTCTTCAGTCCTTTAGGAGTTGTATTGTGAAACTTCTGAAGCTCGAAGGGTCGGAATGGTTGTTTAGGCTAGACGATGGAGCGGATGAGGATCTCGTATATGGTGTTGCTACAAGGGAAAGATTTTTGTATGAAGCTGAAATGAGAGAGATTAATGCAATGGGGGAATCACCTCCCAACAGGAAACCCTCGGGCTCTGCATCAAAAACCGACGAGTTTGATTGCACCAAGTTCTTGATGACGTCCATCCCGCATTGTGGAGAAGGGTGCATCTGGAAACTGGATCTGATTGTAAGCTTCGGGATCTGGTGCATTCACAGGATTCTCGAGCTTTCACTTACGGAAAGCAGGCCCGAGCTCTGGGGGAAATATACCTTTGTACTCAATCGTCTTCAGGTTCGCTTCTTTTCTTTTCCTGTCTGGATTTTTGGTTGACTAAAACCAGTGTTGCAAAAATCGCGCCTAGGCGCTAGGTGCTCGGGCCTCCTAGGCGCCCGCCTAGGCACTCTAGGCGCCCTCGGCCTCCTAGGTGCCCGCCTAGGCGCTCTAGGCGGTCCCCAGGCGCCTAGAGGGCACCTAGCGATTTTTTAACATTGACTAAAACAATGCTTTTTAGGTGCCTAATGACACATAATTATCCCAAACTTTCCTGCTCCAGGGCATAATCGATCTCGCATTTTTCAAGCCCCATTCGCCAATGACTCCCTGTTTGTGCCTAGCGTTTCCGGTAGGCCAGCAACAAAGATCAAACATATCAGCTCCAAACGGAAATTTGCCCATGCCTGCAAAACAGGGATGGGGAAAATGCACAACGGCACCAATGCTCGTGGAAAAAATCAAAGACATCGAGATCGCAATCTCTAGTCGTAAAGGGCGTGCAGGCACAGCGGCCGGTGATGTGGCTTTTCCCAAAGGAAAAGAAAACCTGGCATCGGTGCTTAAACGGTACAAACGCAGATTATCAAACAAAGCAGTCGGGTTTCAAGAATCGCGGAATGTGCCACCTTCAACCCCTTACTAGATTTTTTTGCTCAGTTCATGGCAGCAGAGATTGGATGGATCCAAGATGCCATCTGGGTTTTACTCTCTTTCTGCAACTCATCTTCAAACATGCAGATTCTTCACTTGCTGTTCTGTTTCTCTATCTAATGTGTATTTTGTAGTAGTTTCTTCAGTTTCAGTTTTCCTTTAATTTGTACTTCAACCAGCATGTAGCACATACATAGGATACAAATTGTACTCAGCTATGTAATTTGCAGCAGTCAAAGGAAATTGGGAGAAAATGTGGTAAAAAAAAATTGTACATTACCATTTCAACTTTTGGTTTACCTGAGAACCCTTCCAGCTTTACCTCCCCACAGCAAATTTTAAGGGGTCGTTTGGTTCACGGATTGTCAGATTACCTTAGATTGCTGGGAATGTTAGATTCCTGTGTTTGGTTAAAATTGGGGTATGTAATATAATCCTGTTTGGTTTAGGGTTATTTTTTATACACACTATAATATCCTTAACATATTTTAATATATTTAAAAATTAAAATAAATAAATAAGATAACGGTATCATATATAATTACATGATTTTAAAATATTAACTAAAATCTTGAACTTGAGAAACAAAATTATTTTATATGCTAACATAACATAACATAATAAAAATAAAAATATATATAATTACAAATATATATATATATATATATATATATATATATATATATATATATATATATATATATATATATATATATATATATAATAAACTAACATAACCAAGGTTATCTTACATTACCTAAGATTTTGAAGGGAATCACATTCCCTTCAAAATCCTATGTGGAGGGAATGTGACATTCCTTGGGAATGTTAGATTCCCTAAGATAATATGAACCAAACACCGGAATGTGAACTTTGGAATGTCACATTCCCTTGGTTATGTTATATATCTGAACCAAACGCCCCTAAAGGGTTTGGTGTTTCAATTTCACAATTTTGGAACTTCCATTTTGGGTGGGGTTTCAACCTAAATTCTTACTTGTTTAGATGAACTTTATATGCTTGAGTTTTCTGATATGATTAACTTTGTTGATTTTTTTTTTTTTTTTTTTTTTTTTTGGGTCAAAGTTATTTACTAAACAAGTACTTTATGTTTTATCATACATAGGTTTTCCATGTACATTTTAAAATTAGAATCTGATATGATTAACTTTGTTGATTTTTTTTTTTTTTTTTTTTTTTTTTTTTTTTGGGTCAAAGTTATTTACTAAACAAGTACTTTATGTTTTATCATACATAGGTTTTCCATGTACATTTTAAAATTAGAATATGATCTTACCGTGAGATGTGTAACACTTTTTATGGGTGCATAGAAAAGTATTGCTAAGATTAATGAGAACAAGAAACAATAATAATGGTAGAAAATAAAAATAAAGAAGACAATATTTATATGGTTCGGTAATGTGTATACGTAAGGGAGATACAAATAACGTATTTATAGGCATCTCTAGACATGTACATGTGCAAAAATACCCCTGCACCATTGGTTCGATCCACTCCGCTCCGCTCCATTCCTTATATGAGACATGCTCAACAGTATTATATCTTAACTAAAAAGTATTATGTCTCACGTGAGAGGATTTTACACCAAGCTTACTTTTAAAATTAATATGATATGAGCGAGTTTTTTACACTTTTGGTCCCACGACTATGGTGTCACTAACAACTTTGATTCACGACTTTTAAAACATGTAGAATTGGTCCACGACTATGACTTTCTTAACAAATTTGGTCCTTCCGGTGCATTTTCCGTTCAATTTTTGCCAGAAAATTTTACTCCCCATTTAACATGGGTAATATTGTCTTTTCCATCTCACAAACTAATGACATAAATAAATAATTAAATAAATAAATAATTAATTAATTGAACACCGCCAGTGATACAATGATTGAAATTAAAAGTCACCCAGTTCCAATTCCACTTTCAGTTTCACCCTCCTCACTAAAAGTTTTATTGAACAAAAGCTTTTATATATATAAACCATATTAAAAGTCATGCTCTGAAAAAAGATGACTGGACAATCAGTATCACAGCAGTTTATCACTTCATCATGAAAAATTAGTATAAGAGCATACTATATAGATAAATTTTTTGAATATCCAATATAAGATAATTGTGATAAATATTTAAGTGTTTTTATAATGATTGTTTCAAGTCATTCAATTCCGAAGTCAGGACTAGAGATAACACTACTAACAACCCGTTAAACAGGGAAACTACTCCAAAATTAACTAATTCTACTTTTGTAGCTTTATATTTGACCATATTCTACTTCTGTAGTTTTATATTTGACCATATAACAATTTAAAATTCTCATAACATATAAATTTAATTATTAAAATACTAATCTCATTGGTAGTTTTTCTTTGCCTTAGATCACTTCTACTTCCTATACAACAGATAATAACCATTCACCTGCCACATAGGAGAACAACCGAATACTAGTGAACCACAAGATTCTTGGTAAAAAAAAATTAATTATTAAAATTACAAATATAATATTTTAATTAATTTTAAATCATAATCTAAATATACAAAAAATAAAATATGCTACAAAACATACTTAAACATTGTGAATACCTCGTGTGTAAATGCATTTTGTATATTGATATTATAATAACACTTTGAAATAATTTTTTTTTTTTTCATGTAGAATGTCTTTACTATTCAAACAGAATACATACTTCTACATTTTCAACCACATTAAAAGTCATACTCTGAAAAAATGATGACTGGACAATTAGTATCAGAGCAGTTTATCACTTCATTATGAAAATTGGTATCATAGCATACTATATAGATAAAATTTTTGAATATCCAACATAAGATAATAGTGGTAAGTATATATATGTTTAGTGTTTTTATAATGATTGTTCCTACGTCGTTCAATTCCGAACTATCGATAACACTACTACCAACCAGTTAAACATGGAAACTATAACAAAATTAACTAATTCTAATTCTATAGCTTTATATTTGACCATTTGTAAAAATTTTAAGTTTTAGTAAAAAGTTTTAAATATCAATTTAAATTTTTTATAAAATATAAATTTAATTATTAAAATACCAACCTCATTGGTAGCTTTTCTTTGACTTAGATAACTTCTACTTCCTATAAAAAGATAATAACCATTCACCTCCTACATAGGGAAACAATCGAGTACCAATGAACCACAAGGTCCTTGATGAAAAAAACTAATTATTAAAATTACAAATATAATATTTTAATTAATTTTAAATCATAATCTTAATATACAAAAAATAAATTATGCTACAGAACATACTTAAACATTTTGAATACCTCGTGTGTAAATGCATTTTGTATATTGATATTGTAATAACACTTTGAAATAATTTAATTTTTTCATATAGAATGTCTTCACTACTCAAACAGAATACATACCTTTACATTTTCAACCACATTAAAAGTCATACTCTGAACAAACGAAGACTGGACAATTAGTATCAGAGCAGTTTATCACTTTATTATGAAAATTGGTATCAGAGCATACTATATAGATAAAATTTTTGAATATCCAACATAAGATAATTGTGGTAAGTATATATATGTTAAGTTTTTTTTTTTTTATAATGATTGTTCCTATGTCGTTCAATTCCGAACTATCAATAACACTACTAACAACAAGTTAAACAGGAAAACTATAACAAAATTAACTAATTCTACTTCTGTAGCTTTATATTTGACAATTTGTAAAAAAATTTAAATTTTAATAGAAAGTTTTAAATATCAATTTAAAATTCTTATAAAATATAAATTTAATTATTAAAATATTAACCTAATTGGTAGCTTTTCTTTGGCTAAGATCACTTCGACTTCCTATAAAAAGAAATTAACAATTCACCTCCTACATAGGTGAACAATCAAGTACTAGTGAACCACAAGGTTGAAAAAAGTAATTATTAAAATTACAAATATAATATTTTAAATCATAATCTAAATATACAAAAAACAAAATATGCTACAAAACATACTTAAACATTGTGAATACCTCGTGTGTAAATGCATTTTTTATATTGATATTGTAATAACACTTTGAAATAATTTAATTTTTTTCATGTAGAATGTCTTTACTACTCAAACAGAATACATACCTTTACATTTTCAACCACATTAAAAGTCATACTCTGAAAAAACGATGACTGGACAATTAGTATCAAAGCAGTTTATCACTTCATTATGAAAATTGGTCTCAGAGCATACTATATAGATAAAATTTTTGAATATCTAACATAAGATAATTGTGGTAAGTATATATATGTTAAGTGTTTTTATAATGATTGTTCCTATGACGTTCAATTCCGAAATATCGATAACACTACTAACAACCAGTTAAACAGAGAAACTATAACAAAATTAACTAATTCTACTTCTATAGCTTTATATTTGACCATTTGTAAAAATTTTAAATTTTAGTAAAATAGTTTTAAATATCAATTTAAAATTTTTATAAAATATAAATATAAATTTAATTATTAAAATACTAACTTCATTGGTAGCTTTTCTTTGACTAAGATCACTACTACTTCCTATAAAAAGATAAATTTCCGTCTCACAAATAACTTCTTCTATCAGATATTGGCAACAATGTTCAATGCTAATAACATATACCCTGAAATAATCAATCTTCGCTTTATCATTATCATTATATCATGTCTCAATTTTTTTGGGCAGCAAATCTATCAACTCTTGGCTCGAGAATGGACTATGCTCTGATCTTCTTTTTAAGCTATAAATTGTGCCACACAGGTCAAACACATTGTATCGCCTAACAACAATCTTGAAATATTTAATTTTAAAAAATATAACTAACTATAGTATTAAAATACTAAATACACACACACACACACACACACACACACACACACACACACACACACACACACACACACACACACACATATATATATATATATATATATATATATATATATATATATATATATATATATATATATATATATATATATATTGAATTGCAATCATATAGGAACCTAGAAACTAATCTTAGCCTTTTATTTTATTTAATCAACGGTTCATATTTAATCAATTTTATATGGGAAATATTTTCATAGATGGGTTATATTTTTAGCAAACAGGGGTATTTTAGACTTTTCGGATGATGTACGTGATTGGAAGGTGTGTAATACTCGACGAGTCCTTGTAGTTCGAAGTTGTGTTTCGAAGATGTTAATTTAGATAAAGCTGTTAAAGGAAACCCGAATGAGGAATTCATGGAAGACGACGTTGATGCTGACGAC